AAAAAAAAGCAACTAAATAACCTCAAAATCAAGATAAATTCCCATCAACCATGGATCCAAATGAAAAGCAAACTTGAAAACTGAAAACCCAGAATTCGTTTTGGACCAAAACATAGACAAAATAACGAATGACAAACAACAAAAAAGCCCCTAAAGGCCTAAATTGATTCCTTGACACCACTGAAACTGGGTTGCTTTCACGGCACACATTCACCAGCATCAACCAGAAGCAAAGCTTATTAAGTTCTAAACATCAGCAATAAATAAATAAATTCACCAAGTAAAAAAAAACAGATAAATTAAAGAAAACCCAAGCTTGATCAGCAGAATTCTGAATCAAAAAGACAAAAAAAAAAGAAATAATCAACAGATTAAAGTGATTAATAGACGCACCAACAAGAAAAGCTTGTGATCAAGGACTCTGCTAGATAAATCATTTGAATGATCTGCCCATGAATAGATAATGTTTTATCTACCCAATGAAAATGGAAGGGTAAGTAAAAAGATTGAACTTTTATTATGCAAAACAACAAAAAAATTGAAACTTTAATTGTGATTTAAATTAAAAATGGATGCTTTAATGTCAAAATTTTCTTCTTTTGCGTCTTTTAGGGGAAGGAAGAGGATGAGAAAAAGAAAGGGAAGGCAATGTAGAGAATGTGAGTGGGAGAATGACACCCATGTCTCTGTTTATAATCCCAAAACATTAAAAAAAAAAAAAATCAAAGTTTGAAGTAAAATGGAATTTACCATCCTCTTTACAATAATCCCCTCTTTTTGCTCTCTTTTATATTTCTCTTATTATTATTTTTTTAATTTTATTGCTGTAATTAATTTGAACCCAAAACCTTCTTTTTACTTTTCTCCTTTTCTGTTCTCAGCCTTTGGAAAATTTCCAATTGTGAAGAAAATTAGGAGGGAAATTCTTTGTTTTTCTCTTTTTGTTTTTACCTTGTTTACTTTTTGCAATTTATTTATGATCTTTTGCATCTTTTTGTGTATATAATTGTTTTTACCATGGTTTAAGATGTTATGATTATCCATTATTCAAATTATTAAAAAGATTTAGATTTTTTTAATGCTTTTAAAATTTTATTGAATGCAATAGTCCATAGTTGATGTAATAAATTTCAGTATTAAAAAATATATTAGTTAATACTAT